ACGCTGCTTAGGCAACTGGAGCTCTCCCGTACACGCTGCTTAGGCAACTGGAGCTCTCCCGTACACGCTGCTTAGGCAACTGGAGCTCTCCCGTACGCTGCTTAGGCAACTGGAGCTCTCCCGTACGCTGCTTAGGGAACTGGACCTCTCCCGTACGCTGCTTAGGGAACTGGAGCTCTCCCCTATGCTGCTTAGGGAACTGGAGCTCTCCCGTACGCTGCTTAGGGAACTGGAGCTCTCTCGCACGCTGCTTAGGGAACTGGAGCTCTCTCGTATGCTGCTTAGGGAACGTAGAGCAATACAACCGCTTTGGAAACAGTTTGTCAGTTTCTCACACAGTCAAACACACCCCTGCCGCAGGACGCAGCCACTCCAATCCTGGGTATTTACCCAAGAGACATGAAAGCACATGTCCACACAAAGATTTATATACAGGTGTTCACAGCAGCTGTACCACAAACAGCCCTAAACTGGAGACCATCTCAATGTCCCTCAACAGGTGAATGCACAAATAATCTATGCTGTATCGGCACACCAGAACAAAAGGAATGAACAAATGATATACCCAACAGCATCAGTTAATCTCAAAATAATTATACTGAGTGAAAGAATTCAAACATATTGTAAGATGGTGTTTATATAAACATTTTTAAAAGATTTACTTATTTATTAATTTTAGAAAGAGAGAGTACAAGCAGGGGGTGGGAGGGCAGGGGGAAAGGGGGAGAGAGAATCTCAAGCAGACTCCCCGCTGAGCATGGAGCCCAATGCAGGGCTCAACCTCATGACCCTGCGATCACAACCTGAGTCGAAATCAAGAGTTGGACACTTCACCAACTGAGCCACCCAGGCACCCCGTGTTTATATAAAATTTTACTTAAATACGTGCTCGCTACGGCAGCGCATATACTAAAATTTTACATGAATACAAATGAATCTGTAATGAAAGCAGATCAGTGGTGGCCGGGGGATGAGAAGGTAACAGGAGGAAGGGGCATGAGGGAACTTTTAGGAACTGAGGGCATCCATATTGTCTTGATTATGGTGAGTGTTTCCCAGTGTACATATGTCAAAATGGATAAAATTTTATATTTTAAATATGTGTACTTCATTGTATGTCAATTATACTTCAATAGAGCCATGAAACAAAAAACAACAATTAACAATCAAATGTTAATGAGAAAGTAGAAATCATAGTGATTAAGGGCATATGAATTTTGAAGTCAGAGACTCAGGTTCAAATCTCAGCCCTTCCATTTTCTAGCTGGGAAACTAGCTTAATCTCACTAACCCTCAGATTTCTCTTCCATAAAATGGGGATACTATTATCTACTTTATAGAATTATCAGAACATTTATTTTAAAGATTTTATTTTATTATTTATTTGAGAGAGAGAGAATAAGAGATAGAGAACACGAGAGGGAAGATGGTCAGAGGGAGAAGCAGACTCCCCGCCGAGCAGGGAGCCCGATGTGGGACTCGATCCTGGGACTCCAGGATCATGACCTGAGCCGAAGGCAGTCGCTTAACCAACTGAGCCACCCAGGCACCCTATCAGAACATTTAACTAAGATGATGCTTACAAAAAGTTTAGCACAGTGCTTGACAAACAGCACAAGTTCAATAAATAGCAGCCGCTATTATAAATCTGAAACATAATGCAACTATTATGATCATTGCTATGGTGTTTAAATGTCAAATAGTATCATTTACAAAATCATCACGGTAGCAGTTATGAGCACTGATGTGGGGTATCAACATCAACATGATATTCAAATAGAAAAAAGTAATACGTATCTTAGTTTGAAAAAAACAGATTGTAAGGCACAATCAAGAAAGAAAAAGTGTTAGCATCAGGAAAAAAAATTCACAAAATACGTTTAAAGTTACAGTGATGAAAGTATCTGACCCTCAAGAGACTGAGAAGGAAAATAACTAAGGAACCCCTAAGGGAGGGGGACTCTGTCAGAACAGTATAAAACAACTCGCTCACTTTAAAAATTAACCCTAGAAAACAATGCTTTATCCAATAAATGTAGCTAAACGTAAAACATGCCTTCAGTTCTAAACTAAGAGTTCCCAGAAAGGAGGAGGAAGACGGTGACGTGGAACAAAGTGCTCGATTTGGGCCTTCACCGGCGTGGCCGGAGCCCTGGGCTGGTGGCTGGTGCACAGCAGACCCTCAGGACAGTCCTCCTTAGCTCCTGCTGTGCCTTCCCCCTGTCCTTCCTGATCCAGGGAAACCATGTCCACCTGGCATTTCTCTGCAGGAGGATGCCTTCCCCAGCAGCAGCTGAGAGGAATCCCCTCCGTGTTCTCCTGGGACCGGGCCAGCCTCCCAACCCAGTCTGGTATTCACTTGTGCCAATGGCTTGAAAAGCCTTTCTTTTCCCTTGAGAGAGCCCAAGAAGAATGTGGGAAGTTCAGAGAACAGGGCCCTGGCCCCTTGGCTGCAGACAATGGACACAGTGATGCCAGGACTAGGAGAAGGGCCCACAGGGATTGT